AAAAAAAAAAAAAAAAAAAATGGCCCCGTCCGGTCTGGTCCTGGTCCGTCTGGTCTGGGGGGAGGGTGCCGCACGCGGCAAAGCGGACCGGACCGGACGCTCGTCCGGTCCGTCTGCTTGCAAGTATAGTCAAAAGTAATGCGAAACACTGTACAGAGTCGCAATTCTCACAGTAACACCTTTTCTTCTCGCTATGTCTATTACCAACCAGATTGATTGACAGACTGCCAGGTGTGCGGCTTGCATTTGTTGGAGATGGCCCTCACAAGTAAGTGAAACATGATGTGCTTGAGCTTTTCCTCTGCGTATGTCTTCCTCTACTAATGACATATGCAAGCGTTTGTGATTTTAAAATTTCAGACCTGTTTTCACGAATGCTTCTGCTCTGATTTGGGAACCTGAGAACTCTTTGCTTTGAGCAACCTTTCCCTACCTGCTCTAACTGTTTCCTTGCCTGCCTTTTAGCCCCCTCTCCCTCCTCCTCATCCTCGCCTTCCTCCTCCTCCTCCTCTTCTTCTTGCTGTTCTTCTCGCCCTTCTTGTTCTTCTTCTGGTTGCTCTTCTCTCCCTCTTCTTTTGTCGTCCTTTTTTTTCCCTTTTTTGAAAGCTGAAATATGCTAGGCTGTTTTCCTGGGCGCCCGGGCACCCAACTTCTGCCCGGGTACACGCCCGGGTGCCCGGCCGGGCATGACCCCCGGGCAGGGTTCCGGGCAGCCCCAGCGCCAAAAAAAAAAAAAAAAAAACTCAAAAAATTCCGGAAAAAAAATATGTTGTGTAGGATTGAAATGCAAACCACTTTTGGCTGAGGGTCACATTATAATTCCTCACAGAATCAGAGATAAAAAAGAAAATAACAGAATCACACAAAGGCAACCCCCATTAGACCCCTTTAGCCCCTTTAAAACCAATTTATACCCCCCTCCCTCCCCCTTGACAGCCAACTCGCAAAAAACGAAATGAGCCCGGATTTGGAGTCCTCTGGGAGAGCGCAGAAAACCAAAAAAAAAAAAAAAAAAATCTTTTTTTTTTTCACGCCCGGGTGCCCGGCCGGGCAGGACCGGCCGGGCGTGAGAATCTTCCTAGGAAATATGGTGATAATTTGGCTATGAACTTCGTAGCTCACAGTTTGGCTTCCCTTTCCCAGTTGATAGCTAATGTATCAATATGCTCCTGATTCCTCAGTCTGCTTCTGTTTTTTAGTATGCTAACCACTATGTTGTTTGGAGTCCTTGACTTATAATAATCATACGTGCGGCGCACCAATGCGGTGCGCTGTGCGGTGCATGGTGGCCCCACATGGGATGCGCGCGCACCTGCGCACAACATGCACATGGGTGAAAATGGACTCCGGGTAAGTCATCGTACAGTGCCAAAATGAAACGATGCCATTGGTTTGGAGACGGCAATTGTCTGCTTTGCTTCTCTCCAGACATGCTTAGTTGCTGGGTCTCTCTCTCTCTCTCTCTCTCTCTCTCTCTCTCTCTCTCTCTCTCTCTCTCTCTCTCCGCCCTGAGGAACTGAGAAGACAGTTCACTGAACAAGGCTGGTGCGTTCAACTGGTCAAAACTTAAAGTACCGGTTGATTTTGTTTTTTTTTTCTTTCAAAAACAGTTGCAGTTTTATTATATAAAAATCATACTTGCGGCGCACGTCGTGCGCGGCACTTACGCACGTGCGCCACATAGCGCAGCGTGCAGGCAGCGCGCGTACGACGCGCGCCGCGTGGCCAAGAACAAGGGTCGAGGGAAAAAAAAAATTGGGGGGAGTGGTGCAAGTGAGAGGGGGGGTTCTCGGAAAATTGCAACCGGGCCCGCAGAAATTTTTTTCCGGGCCGCGCCAAGGCCCGGGAAAAAGAATTCGCCCAACGTTCGAATTCGAACGCTGGGTGAGCCAACCTCCCGGCAAGGCCGCCAGACAGTCCATTCGGGTGTGCACCACGTCGTCTCGCGCCGCCGTCGTAATGCCTTGGCCGTCGTCATCGAAGACCTCAATCCCCCTCCATTGTCGGCCACGGCAAGGCCGGCCATCCTTCATGGCAGCAGCGAGCGGGAGCAGGGGTGGTCGCCAGCAAGCATTGCCAAGGTTGGTGCTCTCTCTCTCTCTCTCTCACACACACACACACACACACACACACACACACACACACACACACACACATCCTTGCGCAGCGGCCATGTAGTCATCTCCGCATCGTTCC